GTGAAAATTATTGATATTTTATTTTAGTGCTTTTAAACAACTTCCAGGAACAGAGAAAACAAATAAGTCTGTTATAACCCTTTCCTTGTGTCTAGTTACCCACTTTTCCTCTATCCCCTTTGCCTCAGACCATCTATGTTTCTATATTACATGATTATAATAACTAAGTTAGAGAGAGAGAAAGGAAGAAAGATAGGAATATCTACTTTTCCCTCACAGTCTATAGACAAATACATGTTAATGTGATGGAGTAGGATTGGAAAGGAGTGTACTGGGCTCATCTGCACCATTCTATATTGATTTGATTTCGCCATTGGTAATTCTTAAAATGTATGTCTAGTGATCTTGTTTAGCCTTGCTCCTGCAGTTACAAGCATTTTTAGTCCCCATATCTTATAGTAAGTCTGTGAATACATTAGTCTTGTAGTTGTGTTTTTACAAAACATTGAAAACAAGATACATTGATAAAAAACAGTAAAAACAACCCCAAACTATACTATTGTTTGCAGAATTGCAGACAAAATATTCTTCAAAGAAACTGCAAAACTCATATCTGTCAAGGTTGAAGTGCTGAGAATCCCTTGATGCAAGACGTGTAGTTACGGGGAGGTTAGTTTGTTATTTACATTAAATTATTAAGGCTGGTGAGGACAATAATGGATAATAATGGATTGTCAAAAACTCCAAAAAGATCTCTTGAAATGGCAAATACAGATTTAGTGTAAACAAGTGTAAAGGGATTCATAACTAGGCAAAAAGATCTGAATTTAATACACACACACACACACACACACACACACTACATTTGGGATCTGAATGAACAAGAAAAATATCTTCGTATCTTAGTAGGTAACTTGTTGAAAATTGTGATACGATCTACAGCACATAAAGAATCTGTAAACATATGTGGAAAATTCAGTCTACCAAAGCCAAACAGATAAAGGAAGCAGTTCTTCATACACTACAAAGGTAAATTGTGAAATTAACTTGGTTTAAAACATGCGGATGGCTGTTAATTTAGATAGCTTCAAACAGGGATTTCATGAATTCATGGAAGAATAGGCTACCATTGGCAACCTGAATGGCTATATGTCATCACTTACATCAGTTGTTGGGAAATGTAAGACGGTGCAATTTCACTCATGCCCTGCTGATGTGTGTGTGCCTGTGCATCTCTTTGAGGAGAAAATCTCATTTATGGGTTCTACTTGGGCAGCATAACTGGTAGAAAAGCCAATGCTACAGCTCTGTGGAAACCTCAACCTACTATATTCTTAGGGAGCCCAAGGAGAAAGTCAAGGTCCATGCATTGTATACACCCTTCAAGGCTGGAATTTAGGAAGGAGAAATGCCAAAGGCAATGTGGAAGACTTCTCTGACAAGAAAAGAATAGCAGAAACTACAGGTTTGTGATAAAAAAAAGTCTGCAACTTAGCTGTACTGTACTCAGATATAGCATGATAGATTCATTGGGCAGTTTACTCTCAGAGAAGTGCACACAGATGTAAAGTCTGCGTTAGTCATTTTTGAGAGAGGGCAGAACAGGCACAGTATATCCAGTCCTCTTTATCTTCTGAGAAGAAGGAACTGTTGTGCTTCCCCTCAGAGGACCTGGGCATTGTTGCTTCCCTTATCCTACCTTTGGAGTTGGTGTACTTATCAAAGAACTTGCAATGTCTTGCAGTCAAATTCCTGCAGGACCAGTAGAATGTCTAAGCCAACGTTCATATAAAATTACCAGGGCAGCCTTCTCAAGTCAGTGCTACACCAAGTCTACAATATGGGAGGCAGGAGAGCGGGGAGGAAAACCAAGCTGAGTGTAACCAAGGAGACAGAAGCCCCATCTACACTGAGCATTTTATGCAGTTCAAAGCTAGCTTCAAACTGCAGGGGCTAAACTTCCTCCAAAATGCATAAAAGGAAGCCCTTAATGCTCCGTGGTTTGTGTAATCACCATTTGGACCTCAAACTGGTTCCAGGGTTTCCTGTGTAATCATCTGCACAGGGAAACCACTTTCTTCAATGCCTCATACTGTTGTCTATCTATTCCCTCAAACCCTCATAGCATTATTGTAAAAGAATTGCTGGGTTGGAACCTGTCTGAAATCCAACTTCAAAAATAGTAAGGTATCAGCGACTTCATAATACAAGAAGACTACATATCTGCATACTTGTGTGAAACAGATGCATAGTCCTCTCTTGTTGACCCTATCTGCCTTTCTTCTGCTGTCTTTCCCAAAGAGCCTAAATGATATGGGAGTTAGTTCGTTTATGCTTTGCAAGGCATCACACTTATTGGTTATGCTATATAGTTAGCCCTTCATATTTGCTGGGGATTTCCTCCAAAAGTGGAAACAGCCACCAGAAGTTAACCATAGAATCACTCTAGAGGACTTAGAAATGCCCAGAAAAGTGTTCTCTGCCATGACTCTATGGTCAACTTCTGGCCACCCTTGACCCTCTGGAGGACATAGAGATTCCTAGAGATAACATTAATCAAATCTGTGAATAAAATCTGCTAAAATTAAACCTGCAAATGTGAGGGCTGGCTGTATGTCAAAATTGATTTTGCTCAAAGGCCAAAATACTCTCAACCAGTATATGTTTACAGTCTTCCAGAGTTGGCTCATTATAAAGAAATCCTTGATGGGGGCACATAAACACTCAAGGCAGCAAAGAACTTGCTGGACCCATTTAAGTTGTTTTTGCAATTCTTGGCTTTGGCTTGAATTTTCTTTTCCCATTCCTCTCTGGAACTGTAACCAAGACAACAAGTTTTTCTGGTTATAATTTTTTCAGGCTATGTGGCTACATATTTTCATTTAGCTAGTCACACTATGGCATAGATCGTACAAAAGTCGATGTGTTGAATGGATGGTATCTTGGTAGGTCAAAGCTTATTTCAGTTTGGCCAATTAAGTGGATTTGCCTTTGTTGGGACTAAAAATAGATTTAGGCTTAAGAGTTGCATAACTGATAGCAATGATTGGTGAGTATGGAGTAAGACTATGCGATGTCTCTGGCTATAAGATGCCCAATGTGTTTTTCTCATTTGATTACCATATCCCTGGAGCTCTATTTCAGAATTTATTTGCAGTTGATATTGAATGAGATTTTCCAGTCTTTGTTTACGATTCATGAAGATGGAATAATTTTGGAACAAGAACTAATCAGCTCCCTTCTTGTCTTACAGATATAGTATTCAGAAGTACTCAGTCTCACCATATTAATAGTCAGGGTAAAATCACTTAGGTATTTTATGTATTGCTCTTAAAAACATGGAGGCCAGTTAAAGTTGTTTTCCTTTTTAATCATAGATGGTGATTGCATTCCAATGATATAAGCAGGACTCTTCTTTCAGGTCTCAGTACGGTCTTTTTACATAGTTGTTTAGATATTGTACAACTACTTTCAGAGCTTTTATACCTCTTTTACTTTGGCTCTCAAACTATGTACAGGCAGTCCTTGAGTTACAGACATCCGACTTTCAAATGGCACATAGTTAAAAATGGGGGTGAGACAACAGGAAGTGAGAGAAATCTACCACTAGGAATAAAAATTCACTTCTGAAAGAGTTATCATGGGGGAAAAAATAAGGAAGCAGATTGTGGATGATTTTTGCAGATAAAGTTTTAATTTACTCAATTTATTATCCACACCCACAGATTTTATTAGCGTCATATATGAAGCCGTGTAGATTGACTCTGTTATAGACTTTCTGGTCTTAATGGTAACACTTTTCTTTAAAAAAGCTCTGTGTTTAATGTTTAATGTTTTTAAATTTTACATTTCTGGTTGGTGACGATAATAACAAAATTAACTCATTCATCATGGGGAAAAGGTTTCTCCAAAGAAGCTTTATCACCAATCTTTGTTTCCACATGTCTATTTTTTTTCCCAGATTCCAATTATTACAGGGTCGGAAAGTGAGGTGAAATCTTCTGAACAGGGACATAGACAGCAAAACAAACACCACAGCCCTTTCCTTTGCTATCTGTCTGTCTGTCTGACTGCATGGCTGATTTTACACTTAAGATCAAACCAATCCATACTCCAGGAAATAGTGCCCAACTGCTCACTAGAGGGAAGGATATTAGAAGCAAAAATGAAGTACTTTAGCCACATAATGAGAAGACAGAAAAGCTTGGAGAAGACAAGGATGCTGGGGGAAATTGAAGAAAAAAGGAAGAGGGGCCGACCAAGGGCAGGATGGATGGATGTTGTCCTTGAAGTGACTGGCTTGACCTTGAAGGAGCTGGGGGTGGCAACGGTTGACAGGGAGCTCTGGCGTGGGCTGGTCCGTGAAGTCACGAAGAGTAGGAAGCGACTGAATGAATAAATAACAGCAAAACACTTTAAAATGTACCTGCTCTGACTTACAAACTAATTCAGCTTAAGAACAAACCTACAGAACCTATCTTGTTCATAGGTTGGGTACTGCCTGTACAGGTGTTGGCTTTCAGCAGATTTTGCAAAGCACAGGAAATGTGTTTGCCAGTGAAAGTCTCATCCTGCATGTGATCATTGAGGCATACAACACTTTCATCGCTGTCTAAGAACCATAATGTAATAGGCTTTTTGACTTGCTGCTTCTTTATCCTTCTCAAATCATTATGCCAGACATTTAGGCTATTGAGCAAAGGTTTGCCAAAATCTTCAAAGCTGACTAACACTTCAAGAGGCATGCTTTTTAGAACACAACACGGATCCAAGTGGAGATTCCTTTGATATTGTGTTAGCTAGATAAAAGTTGAATGGTGTGTTCATTTTTTTCCACAACTCCAGTTTTTTTTTTAAAAAATGTATTTTATCATAATTCAATCCATTTGTTATACATCATTTGTTTTATGGCAGACACATAATATTCAGTACAATCTACTTGGCATCTACTGTTATTTTTACGCTTATACATATTTTCTATCCCTTATCAGAATGGTGTGTTTAATAAAAGTGTAAGAGTCCAGGTATTTATGATATCACTTTCCCCCCTTCCTTTGCAGATATTGATGAATGTGTTGATGGGACTGACAACTGCCATATTGACGCCATCTGCCAGAACACTCCTAAATCATACAAATGCATCTGCAAATCTGGCTACACTGGGGATGGGAAGCACTGCAAAGGTAGGGAGAGCAGGCCAGCTGGTAGTAGCAATGGTTGAGAAGACATCTTCCCATGGTTTATAATTAAGCACGCCACATTACATTTTAATTAGGTTTTTATTAACTGTACATTGGTTGCAGTGAACTTTCTGAGAATGTGTAGACAGTTCTTTTGCAGTCCTAGACAATATGTTTTCAATAAGAAGTTTTTTTTAATTTGAGTTTTCATTTTATTTCACTCAATAAATGGATTATTTATTTCACTTCTTCCCCTCTGTTCTTCTGGGAAGTCCATTTTATATGTGCTCCAAATCTCTGTTCTAGCATTTACTTGACAGAGCTTTTATTATACTTAGTTTACAACTTAATTATACTTTGCTTAGTTTTAAACTATGTGTCCTCAGGTAATTCTCTGGGCTGTAGAATATTTAGTGAATACTGTTTCAACATTCTTTATCCAACACACAGGCTCCAGTATTCAGATGTCTTTAGTTTTCACCACTTCATAGGGTTGAAAGAAATACCATGACATTATGGTGGGCATTGCAACTATATGTCTTGCTGCCTATATACATTGCAGGAGTCTGTTGAGGATGGTGGAGAGGGGGGTGTTTTCATTTTTGCAAAACTGTTCCTATATATCTAGTTATATGCCAAACATGAAATCACTAGTGTAAGGCTCTGCTATTGTAACATGCAACCAAGAGTGCCATTTAATCTGGCATTTCTTTCTGGCCTTTTGGTGCTGAACATAAATTTTTATGATAAGTTATCCTTGGATTGGATCAGCTTAAACCACATGAAATGTGTAGAAGATTTGTTGCATTTCTTGAAGCAGGATTTACCTGGTTAAATAATCATTTGTAAAATTTTATTGACTTACGAGTAAATAAAATAAATGTAAGGAATATTTTTCTTAAGTGGATTTTGAAGACAAAAGTAAAGTTGGTAATTGTTGCTTCCAAAGTCCTCCTAGATCACTCACTCTTTCTCTTCTGTGTGCAGATGTTGATGAATGTGAGCGTGATGATAATGCTGGCTGTGTCCATGAATGTGTCAACATCCCAGGGAATTATCGATGTACCTGCTATGATGGCTTCCGCCTGGCACATGATGGCCACAACTGCCTTGGTAAGACCTTTGTGCATGGCAATGACACTACATTCAAAATATATAACTTTGTGAGTGGATAGGAGTCAGAACAGCATGCATTGTGCTATAGAGATTAATTTTGAAACAACCTGAAATGATGGCTTTGAAAGGATCTAAATGTTGAGTTAATCCAGTGGATTGCTGAGTGTGTGCTTTCTGATTCAGTGGTGTTGACTGAAAAAAAAAAGAAGGAGCCTTCCAAGACATTAATGCAGCCAGTCTTAGCATTGTCTTGTCCAAAGCAGACTCAGGCTGTGGTCTCTGATCTTCTGAAGCATGCCTTCTTATAATCAAGCATTCATTGTCTCTTTTCAGTATCCTTTTGCTCTGTCTTTTGCATATCCAGTGGGAAGATTAAAAGGATCCTGAAGCATTGCTGTTCTTTCTAGAAAAAGAGAGACAGTTTTCTGTTTTTGCTGACTCTCTTCCCTCACATTGCATTGCATAAATACTCCAGCTGTGAAGTAGTAATGAAGTGTTTATTGATTCTCTGTCCCACAGAGAAATGCAAACTCCTCTCAAGTGGTTATGGCTGTCATACTGTCATATACTAATCTCCACCCTTTCTTGGAGGACAAAGTTAGGGCAAATGAATTTATTTGCCAGTTAACTTATGAAACAAAAAAAATGATAAATGAACCTCCATTTGTTCATTCCTAGGTGGAGCTGGCTGTTCTATTGATATCTATTGCACAGGTGCTTTTAGAAAAAGAATATAATTATCTGTTACAACAGTTTTCTCCTTTTTCTTGAAAGACACTTTTTTTCTGAGGATTCAGAACTTATAATATAAGTGATTTTAATGTTTGTGTATATTTATGGTTTTATGTCCCGGCACTGAATGTTTGCCGTGTATATGTTGTGCTCCGCCCTGAGTCCCCTGCGGGGTGAGAACGGTGGAATATAAATGCTTCAAACAAATAAATAATAAACTTAATAGGTTTGGTTGATTATACAAGCTAAGGCAGTTTGCTAGGACAAGTAGTGGCTCTAATTTTTGAACAAGTGAGACATTTCTGGTATCTATTGTATCTTTTGGACCACTTTTCTTTAAGGAGCCAGTTTATACTGGGTTAGACTGATGAATTTTCTAGTTTGGTGTAGTCTACACTGGCTAACAACTCTGTGTAGGGATGCCAGGAGTTCAACTTGAGCCCCTTTGTATGTGTATCAAAATTTCTAAAACTAAGCTACAAATACATCTGTTTAGCCAGTATACTTTTAACTAGGGTTGCGCTGAATGGAGATTGTGTGTTTCATAGACACTTTTGGAAATAATTAAAAGGACATCTTAACCTGTTGCTTGTTCTGATACTATGGGGAAGGAAACTGAAAATGTTCCAATATTGGGATCAAAGGAAATAAGTAATCTCATCAAGTGAATTACCTGTGTGACCATGTTGGAACAGGCTGAAGAGTCAACATGGAACATGCATGCTCCAGAAATATCTAGAGGGGGACACTATGCATATGTGTTTCTGTGCTAATGCCAGAAGCTTCTGCTGAATGAAAGGGGATTGTGTCTTTTAGGCCACAATAGGCCTGTCTTTTGAAAAATGACCTGAGTCCACACTGCCATACATTCCAGTCCAAATCAGATAATGTGGGATTTTATTCAGTTGTGTGGAAAGGGCCTTAGTGTGAGATGTGAGTGTAGCTCAACAAATTGATCACGGTGTAATGAAACTTAATTTCTAAATGCTGGAGACATAGACTAAATATGAATGCTTGCACTGTGTATTCCTGGGAGGGGAGAGAGTAAAGTGGAGACAAATGGGTAGTAGTTACAACTGAGGCAGTTCTGGACCTTATTGACAAACTACAAACAAATTACCCAGTCCAGATGGGGCCTATTGAAGAAGTCCTGAGGAACTTAGAAAGGACATTTTTAATGTTTTGCTGAATTGGGAGGTAGCGTGTCTATGGAGGGCTGACATTCACGTATACACATGAATGCCCACAAAGTGCAGGGAAGTTTCTGCAGGCTCGTGTTCACTTTTGTTGCCATTTCCTACACCTCTTCAGAATCTGTAATATTCTTTTTCACATGCCATAACCAGCATTGTACACAATATTCCAGGAGTGATCATAACGTATATTTGTAAGAACAGTACTTTTGTTTCTGCTGCCATCTTCTCCTGCCTACAGAGTGGTGTCAACTGGGATGCTGGTGAAGTGGGAAATGCCAAGTTATGTTGTTCACAAGGGCTCTTGAACATTGCATGCCTAAGGAGGTTTCTGACCTTTCTGGTTCAAGATGAGCACTCACCCAAGATTTTACTCTTTTCGGGCAAACAGCAACGCTCATGCATCTCTAATAGACACTCCCTACTTTCAGCTCATGTTCCAGCAGGTAGACGAACAGTGCAATTTCGGCTACAAGTTTCCCAAAATGTCCAGAGACAGCATTCCTAGAAACTTTGCCTGTCAAGTAGCAAGTTGTGGCGAGCCCCTGGACACAGCCAGCTGGCAAATGGATTACTTGCTTGGCTGGCAGGGTGACTCTGAGTCAGTTGCACAGGGTTGAACAAAACTATCAGACTTGAAGCCAGAAATGATGATAATTATGACTTAATTATGGGCTATGAAGAAGGTGTTCTTTCTCTCCCTTTTGATTCTTGTATTGTTATGCATCACTTCAGTATTTAAGCTTATGAAATCAGAAATCATGGAGATTGTAATTTTACAAGGTCTGTAGCCTTCTCTGCTGATGTTCCATAGCACTGAGCCGTGGCAGTTGAAGTGGTGTCGTAACACATTAATTCTACAATGTAGACATACTCTGAGTCAAATTAGCCCATTTAATCCACTTTAGTTGACTGGTGGTATCTCTTCAGTGAATCTACTATTTCCCTGTTTCTAGTAAAGGCAGTGGAAACTGTACGTCAAACATGTGTCATCCTCAGAAAATACCATCTATGGTCCTCAAGATGAGTTTCTCTGTAGGTTGATAGCAATGTTTTCCACTGAGCAATATTGGGAAGTGAGGACTAAGAAGCATTTTTAAGACTGGAATTATCAGAAATGTTCCCATTACTAGTCTGATAAAGTCACAGCCCTTACCACAAAGTTGTCAACCACAGGAAAGTTGAAGGAAACATTAATTTAGAAGAAAACCAGGATTCCCATATATAAGGAAGAAAACTGAAGGATGTAAGATGGGACTGCCAACAAATACCAGGTGTGTAGGCTATGTTTCAAGTGAAGGGACTGGACAAGCCCCCTCTGGATATTCCTTAGCTAGAAAAACCCTATGAAATTCATGGGGACATTGAAGATGCATACATATACATAAAGGGGATAAAATAACAACAACCTCCAACCACAAGAGTTTAGCAGATTTTTGGGTGTTTTTAGTAACTTATTTTACTGTGAGTCATTAATTCTTCACACCAGCCTGCCATATCTCATCAAAAATATATGGTAGACCACAGCCTTCGAAAACCTAAGCCTGAATGGCCTGTAACTATGGTTGCTGTAGAATTGTGGGAGCCATAAGCCAAAAAAGTAACATTTCTGAGTTTTATCCTCATCCCTAGAACTGCATTACCAGGAACTCTATTTCCTTTTCTCAGACCTATCATCAATAAACTTGCCCATTTTCTGCAATTACATTGGAGCACAACCTTCCCAGCTTCTGCTTGTATTCAAGCTCAATGCCAAACCTCTTTTGCAAACCATTGTAGCTATATAACCTTATGTCAAGCTGCACATTGTGGTATAACTATCTTTTGTTGTGTCTGAACTTACAAGTTTAAGTGAAAACAGCAGCAACAGCTGGGAGTCCTCAGAGTTATTTAAACAGTGACATCTCAAAAGTAAAATGCTGCTCCTCCCACCCTCTCACTGCCCCAGGGTCTTATGCTGAAAGATTTTGATCTTCCAAGTTATACATTTCAAACACATTTTTAGGAGAAATCACTAGCTAGGGAAGCAATTGAAAACTGATTCTGGAATTTTAGTCTCACGTAGTAGAACTTCAAATGCAGAGCTGGTATGGTGTTCAAGTCCCTTCAGCAGCTGTATCTCAGCAAAGGAAGCAGAATAATTCAGCCTTTCCATTGGAAATGATTATGTGGCAGACAGCACAACAGTAAATCCATGCCTGACTATGTAGTATTCAACTACATAAGTTCTTTTCGTGTTGAGACCACAAGAACTTCATTAAAGGGTTCCCCTGAGATGGAAAGAAAAACTAAAAAAGTATTCACTAAGTTAACTGAGCAAAATGCATAGCAGTGGTGGAAGTCATAGATGCCCAGTGCATGTCCATGACTTTGGAAGAAAAGGGCAGTCCATTCTCAAGACAGCATGCTTGCTCTTGGATTCATTTTGCTCTATTGGAAGGTGTCTTCCCATGTTAGGTGGACTGGCAGCCTTGTGTTGAACTGGCAAGATATAGTCAGCTTTATCTCTTGAGGTATCTAGGTGAATGCTGTTGAATTCAGTGTTTGGCCATCAGGATATATTTTTGTTTTGTAACACTTCTGTCATGAAGTCATCCTAGGCAATACTTCTCAGGATAGACCCAAATGCTTATGGTTCAAGGGAGATGGAGGTGGGATGTGACCCCACCTTAAATTGTGGGTTGGTCTCCCCTATATATACTGTGAACTGTTGGTGTGATAGAGGCAACATGATAATTCTTTAGGCTTATTCTTTCAATACAAATATTGTTCATTAGACACCATTAGTTAATTTTTGATCCTGGTACAAATATACAAAAGTATGTCTGAACTTGTTGAGATTGGCTATATATCGATAATAAGGTCATCCTTTCTCTGCTACCCATAATTCTCTGTCCCAGTTAGAAAAGATCACTGACTCAATGGTGCTTACATAAACATTGACTTAGCAAGTTTCCATTGCTTCAATAGATCAACTGTAGTTAAAACTCACAATAGATTTAGGCTACAATATCTAGTAGGACTTCAAGGTACATCTGCATGAGATTGCAACCTTATTGAAATGCAAGACAG